AGCAGCGGGGGGACCCCTCGAGGGGCTGGGGAGGAGGGCGGGGGCGTCCACCTAACGGGAGCGGGCCCCGCCATTGTGTGCCGGGCGGGGCCCAGGACCACCGTGGCCTCCCCACGGTGCACGTCCTGCTAATCGGGCACCCCTCACTTCACCCCTCGTCCTCCGCCCCCTCGGCGTCGTCCTGGAGGTCGTGCCAGCGCCGGCGGCCACTCGCGCACCAGGGCCAGACGGAAGCGTTCGGATGGCGGGACTTTGTCGCCGGATCTGCATATTGATCAGCATCGCTGGCCTCGAGGCTGCAACCCCCTTAACGCCAACCGCACTCCAATCCGCTTTATTCCAATGTCGTTCCGCGTTTTGGAACTTGAAATTCAAATGACGACGGAACGGACCCCCGCGGCCCCAGGAGCGCGGACACACCTCCTCGCCAACACCTGATGAATAACATTAGGGAACATCCAGAAAGGGTCACGGTAAGAATAATTCCTTGTATTTCAAGACCTGGTCTGGGGTGCCATTGGCGGTCTCCATAAGATCCAAGACCGGTTCTTATAATACACAAGAAATCTTTCTTTGCCGTGGTACGCCGAGCATTCGGCGTTGCGAGATTCCCAAGTCAAGCCAGTGCAAGCTCTCATAGCGCCCTAGTGGGTAGGCAACACCATGCCTGGAGTGCACGTGTGTGCTGCGGAATAGCCTACCCCGAGTCTCGCAGGCGCCAAGCTCCCGAATGAATCTAAGGAAAACGTGCGTACTTTCTGTGGACGATACTCCTCGGCGCAATGTCGTTTGAATCGTCACCACTGCCACCATGATCGTCAGCACACCAATCATCTCTCAAGTTTAGGTTTAAAATCTGATTTTATGATCCCTTTTTGCTAATTTATAACCGTTATAGTTCAGAATAAGTCTTTCATGTGAATGGCCACTAGGAACGCGGAGATCCAAGTGCCGTCACATTCAAGCCCGGTGACGTGCATGCACGCAGCAGGGCAGGACAGGCCCAAGCATTGCCCTTCGATGTACCCGCGCGCACCTGCGCGTGCGGAGGGGATAAGACTCATTTTTATTTGAAATATCACAACAGAACGGACTAGTGTTTTCGATTGGGCGGGTATGAGATCGGCGCTTGCCCGACACAAGAGGAGATAGAACTGTGTGGCTGGCAACTGTCTCATCGCTCACGTACCACGATGAGGTCGGGTAAGGCTCGCCCGACACTTACATCGGCTGCCGAGCCTCACTAGGCGCCTCCGGTTCCCGAAACCTCACCCCTCGCCCTTGCTGGTCGACCCTGGCCACGGTTGTGAGCTTGACCGGGCGGCAGGACAGCCGGGGCCGGTGATTTGGAAGCTGTCTCTCTGTCGGGTAAACCCTTTGCCCGACTCGCCCGACTCACTTTTTCGGGCGGGTCGGGTCGGGTATGAACGCCATCAAGCGTCGGGCTAGCTGAAATGCGTTAACCCGCCCGATCGAAAACACTACCCTGCGCCTCGGCCCAGTCTCTTTCTCTTAACGCCACTTTACAGGCGTCCCCATTATCCCTCGCTATCCTGGACCAATCTCTGCCCCCACTCCCCCTTCCCCCTTTTCCAGGCACGAGGGAGGAGGGGGTTCTGCGCTTGAAACTTATCTGTTTTTCTGACGTGCGCATTTTCAGTGTGCAGCGAAGCGGTGGCCAGGGAGCAGTAGTCTGCAGGCGACTCCCCCCGCACCCTACCACAAGCCCTGCCTCTTTCCCCTTCTACAAAACCCGCCGCCAGGCAAAATACCCCTGCCAGCTGCCTCACTTGGAAACGCCCGAATCGGCTGTCGCGAATCGGGCTTGTGATAATATTTTCGACAGGGAATCCCCCTCGCCAGTTCCCTACCCCCGACATCGCCTTCTCCCCAATCCAAAACAGTAGTCACTGTGTGTGTGTGTGTCGTCAACACGCACCAGCAGCAGCCCCTTCTGGAGAGAGAGGGGGGAAGGGCGTAGGGCGTAAAGCACAAGAGAGAGGGGGAGAGAGAGGGGTGGAAAAAGAGAGACAAGGAGGGAGAGAGAGGGAGCTCGCAGAGGGGTGAGGGTGCTCCTGATCACAACGTCACGTTATAGCGAGTGTGTTGTCCCTGTCACTTACACAGAAGGGCCTGTATTGGCATGCACCACTACGCCCAGCGCGTGCTCGGCGGCCCAGGAGTCGGCTGGGTGGGGTGGGGTGGG